GGAGCAGAGGGGCAGGGGAGCTGGGGAGGACGTTGGCCGTCAGACCTCCGCGTGGGTGGGTGTGCGGGAGGGGTGGGCAGCGGCTGCGGCTGGCAGGTCCCCTGCGCTGGGCCCCTCTGGAGTTTGCAAAGAAGGGGGTGGCACAGCCACCCTGAGAGGCACACACCCTCCCTGTTCTGCCGGGCCGGAGCTGCTCTGTGCGGTGCCACGGTCCCCCTGGGGCCTGGGGAGTCCCTGATTTTCCTCTTCTCTTGGCCAAGCACATGCTCTCCTCCCAAAGTTCGCTCTGGCTGCCTTCCTCCGGGAAGCTCTCCTGACCTCACCCACCAGCCCTGGGACTGTGCCCCCACTGTAACCCCTGTACTGCCTGCCCGCTTCCCACCGGCTCGGCCCCGGGGCGGCCCTCTGACTGTGATTGTCGCTCTGTGGCTCCAGATGGCTCCCAGGGGCAGGGTCGGGGCTCCTCCTCCTCCCCATGGCCTTGTCACACCCTGGCCACAAGGACTGGGCACAGGTGGCACAGTTGTTTCAGTCCCCAGCCGCGCTCAAATGAAGGCGCTGAGGCTCCATCCTGGGGCCAGGGGAGGATAGCAAGAGGGACAGCAGAGAAGGGGAATCAGTCTCCTTGGCCCTGATTTCTCATAGGTGACAGAACAGCCAAGGGGCCGAGGACTCCCGGGCTTCTCACAACAGCCGCCCCTGAGGGTTAGGTGAGAGTCTGGGCCCTGGGGAGAAGGGTTGGGGAAGCAGGAGAGGAGCGAGCAGGGATGGTCAGGTGCAGATGTGCCCAGAGGGGTCCCCAGGGGTAGGAGGGAAGGGAGGGATGAGGGCGCTCAGAGCCTGTGTGTGGGTGGGGTCACAATGTGTGTCCTGTGTGCCTGTCCCTGTGTGGGCCTATTCTCAGTGTGACAGCATTCAGGGTGGTGGTCACACACTCCAGGAACTGAGCTGGTACTTCAAAGTCGGGTGGGGCCCTGGGTGGCCTGGAGAGTAGATGTCCTGAGTTCTCAGCCTAGCCCACCACGGCCATATGTGAAATCTCCCATTTCTTTTTTTTTTTGAGCTGGAGTCTCCAGGCTGGAGGGCAGTGACACACTGCCGGCTATCGCAGCCTCGACCTGCTGGGCTCCGGTGATCCTTCCGCCTCAGCCTTCCAAGTAGCCATAACTACAGGCCCGTGCTACCACACCCGGCTATTTTTTATTTATTATAGAGATGAGGTCTTGCCAAGTTGCCCGGGCGGGTCTTGAACTCACGGGCTCAGGCAATCCTCTCACCTCAGCCTCCCAAAGTGCTGGGATTACAGGCTGAGCCACCAAGCCTGGCCTTGAAATCTCCCGTTTCTAACATTGGCAACTACTTTTAAAACTTTTTAAAGACAAGTTGAGTCGAACAAAACACTCTTGGGTGCTTGTCAGGCCCCCAACTGCCATTCTGTGGCCTCTAAGTGGAGGCTACTGTAGAGGTTAAATGTAGGGTCTGCACAGCCTAGATTGGGTCCAGCTTCTCCCAGTGCTGGCTGCAGGATGGGGAGGCCCCACAGCCCTCTGTCCCTCATCACTCATCTGGGAAATGGGCATAATTCAGGCATCTCCCTGCTGGGTTCCCGTGCGGATCACCTAGCAGTCATGTCCGTGAAGCCCAGGCATGCACTCGCTCTCACGGCGGAATGGAAGTCAGCACGTCCTGCTGGGCTGTGGTTGAGGGAGGGTGTCTTAAAGAGCTGGGCTTGGCCCTGTGGTGTCAGTACCTGCCCGTGTAATGGTGCCCCGGGGAGGCCTAAGCCTGTAGCCTGTATTGTGTAGCCTGTGGGTGTGGTGCTTATACCCCGAGGCTGCGAGAAAGTCATTTCCCTCTAAGAACCCCGCCCCCCCCTTTCGCTGCCAGGTCAGGGCCACGTCCCCTGCTGCTGTGGGGTAGCTTTGCCCAAGCCAGTCTGCCTGTGTGTGTGTTAGCACTTCTGTGGCCTCCCCCAGGCCGCATGCCTTGGAGGGAGAGTGTGCCTGCCCTTGACCTGAGAAGGACCCCTCTAGCACCTTGGGACCTCAGCCCCTAGGCTCTGGGGCTGAGAAAGATTCAGTGGGAGGAACAGTGGGCATGGCAGGGTCTTGGGCCACTGGAAGGTCCGCCCCTACAGAAAGAGGTTCGGCTCCGCACCTTTGCCCTTCGCTCCACAGGCCTGAGTGGCTCTGGGGCCAGCCTCTTCTGCTGAAGCTTCAGGTTGCCCACATTTTAGACAGCCTCAGGGATGCCTGTGCCCACCCTGGAAGTCACTGAAGAGTAGAGATGGTTCGATAGAGCCACAGTGTGCGTGTGAGTGGGTGGGAGGAGCTTGTCGTCTCACCCTGGGCTGTCTTGTGAAAGGGTGAACTGCTGAGGGCCCCTGAAAACTCAACTCTGGGACAGGCAGAGGTGGGCAGCAGGTTAGCGGATTCAGGCCCCACCCTGATGGGCAGGCAGCCATCACAGAGCCCGGCCCAGCGCAGCGAGTCACTGCCTGTAGTGAGCCGCCACACCCCGTCCCCAGGCTCCAGGTATTGGGGGGGCCGCCCCTCCTCCTGGCTGTGCCACCCTCACCAAAGGACAAGTAGGTGAAGACAGAGGGGGCAGGAGGCAGAGCCAGGACCCCTCTAGGGGTGGCCACCTTGTTGGATGACCCTCTCCCTGCCAAGCCTGACCCAGGTCCACTGGGAGCTGAAAGGCAAAGGTAGACTAAGCCCTGCCCTGCCCTCAAAGTCTTGGCACTAGGACAGGCTTGGAAGCCAGAGTCCTCAAGGCGAGAGGAAGGCCTCCTTGGACAGGACACAGGCTTACAGGGCATCTAGCCACTGCAGAGATGGCAAGGAAGGGGACCGTGGAAAAGACGGGAATCAGGGGCCCTACCTTGTACCACTAGGCGCCCTCAGTAATAGCAACATCACTGGAGCGCTTGGAGCCTCAGTCTCCACACCTGTGTGACGGGTATGGCATTGCCTCTCCTGCCAAGCTCTGATGGGGATCCAGTGCTGATGGCACTGGCCAGGGCTACAGCCATGTGTCACTTGTTGCTGCTCTGCAGGAGGAAGAGGATGGGAGGGCCACGACTGAGTCCGTGGACCAGGCTACTGCTGGCAGCCCTGCTGAGCATCGACCTCCCTGGGGACACGGGTGAGTCCTCACCGCCCTGCAGCCCCCTCTTGGCAGGGGCACACCTTTCGAGGCATTGCCCGCGCATGGGGTCATCACGGTGTCTCACTCGGACACTCTCGGCCATTCAGCAACTGAGCACGGCACAGCTCCAGGGCTGGAGAGCTCAAGGCCCCACGCTCTTCAGCCTGGAGAAGCGTGAGCCCTGGCCGTGTGGATGGAGAACAGAGGGGAAAGGAGACTGTCTCAGGGAGAGAGGACGCCCACCCAGGGAACTGAGGAGCCCAGAGGATGTTCTGAGGCCTCAGAGGTGGAGTCGAAAGTTCTACAGGAATCTGGAGGGGAGAGAGACCACCAACATGTCCCTTGCTTTCTGAGTGTCACCAGCTGGCATAACTGGAGCCAGCTCCTACCCCTTCAATTCTGCCCGTCAGTTGAGGTCTTGTTGGTAGCTTGAAATAAACCGTGATGGGAATATTTACACCACAGAAATTGGCAAATGCTACAGGTACAGCTCCCTTTCTTTCGCTAGAGCCACTGTTAAACATTCACTAGCATGCCATTGCCCGGAGCCCAGAATATCACCCACCAGGTGCACATAGTAGGTCTTTACTGTGATGTTAACTGAACAGAACCAGGGAGGATCCCAACAGCCTTTGGAGAAAGTCTGGAGTTTAGCCTCGTTCATTTACCAAGGACCTGCTGTGTATCCGGTGTGTGCTGGGTGCCGGGCCTATGGTGATAAATAAGACAGACACAGCCCTCTTTACCCTGAGGAGGCTCAGAGGACAGACTGGTGACAGGGCTGTGGTCACATTGTAAGGCACAAGCTGTGACAGGGAAGGGGCCAGCATAGGGCAGGCGGCTAGGGAGCAGCTCATCACAGGTATTAGGAAGCCTGAGGAAAGCTTGCAGGATTTCAGGCAGCAGCGGGCGAGCAGACAGCCAGGGTGTGCCAACCAGCAAATGGGCCACCGCCTCTACCTCAGTCCCCACCATTCTTCCCTCCAAACTTAAGTGAAAGGTTCCAGGTTTGAAAGCACACCTTGTTTCTAGCTGTGCGACCTGGGGCAGACCCCCTGGCCTCTGTTTGCTCCTCTGTAAGATAGGGAGGGAATCCCCACCTCTCTCAGGTGAGGGTGCACACGGGAGAGAGGGCTCCGTCGCAGTGAGGCCCACGTCCATGAGTGTGCCCACCTCTGTCCACCAGCAAACCTCTGCAAGAAGGCTCAGGTGAAGAGCTGCACTGAGTGCATCCGCGTGGACAAGGACTGTGCCTACTGCATAGATGAGGTGAGGACCTCGACACCCCGGCTTGCCGCACCCTGCCTTTGGCTCTGGCCAAGTTCATGCTTGCCACACCCTCGGCCCAGCCTCGCCAGGGGACGTGGGAGAACAGGCAAGGGTCGGGACCATGAGATGGAAATTAACCCAGAGTGGGGAGAGCCAGGGGATGGACACGGCCCCACTGAACCCTCACCTCTGGCCAGATGTTCAAGGAACGGCGCTGCAACACCCAGGCGGAGCTGCTGGCTGCGGGCTGTCAGCAGAAGAGCATCGTCGTAATGCAGAGCAGCTTCCAGATCACAGAGGTGCCCGGTGCAGGGATCCAGGGCAGGGGCTTTCCACACTCAGGCTGACTGCGGATGGGGGTCCACGGTGCCCCTGGGCTGGGCTGAGGGGCTCCCTGTCAGGTCTCTGGAGTGTCCTCCAGCCAGCTGTCCCCTTTTATCTGGATGCAGGAAACCCAGATCGACACCACCCTGCGCCGCAGCCAGATGTCCCCACAGGGCCTGCGGGTCCGGCTGCGGCCGGGGGAGGAGCAGCACTTTGAGCTCGAGGTGTTCGAGCCCCTGGAGAGCCCCGTGGACCTGTACATCCTCATGGACTTCTCCAACTCCATGTCGGACGATCTGGACAACCTCAAGAAGATGGGGCAGAACCTGGGTACGGCGAGGCCAGTGAGAAGGACAGCAGGGCAGGGGGGTAGACAGGGTACCCTCCCCCAGCTGGCTGGGCACCTACTTGCGGGGCCAGGACTCACGACAGCTGCACCCACCCACAAAGAAACACAGGACACCTGAACACCCCACCAAAGCATCCCTCCCTGTGCCCGAGGGAGAGTTCCAGTCAGACCCTGCTCACCACCCAGGACTTCAGAGAAGGCCCAGGCCAGATGGGCAGCAGAGCCCTCTGGTCCTGACAAAGAGGGCACCTCCTGCTGTGAAGCTGTGGTGGTTTCAGCTCTGCAGACGGAATTGGGTTCAGCCCAGCCACCCCCCACTTGCTAAATGCATAACTCTGGGTCCCCTCGGTCCCATTTCCCTCAGCTGTAAGTAAGGACAGGAGCTATCGTGAGCAAGAACCAACATCCCATGTGCAAAGTAGTAACAGGCAGCTCTTCTACCTCTTTCTCCTTCTGAGCTGGTCCCAGGGCCCCCTGTGTTTATGTGAGGTGTTGGGGCTCAGATGTCCCCTTTTTGTCCCGTTGACACGCAGCCCGAGTCCTGAGCCAGCTCACTAGTGACTACACTATTGGATTTGGCAAGTTTGTGGACAAGGTCAGCGTTCCTCAGACGGACATGAGGCCTGAGAAGTGAGTGACCGAGTGGGCCCGGGTGGACGGGGGTCCTAGATGTGGGGCCCCGCCTCTCACCCAGGCTCTGAAAATTCTCCTTCTAAACCAGCCATGGTGGCACGCACCTCTAATCCCAGCTACTTGGGAGGCTGAGGCTGGAGGATTGCTTGAGCCCAGGAGTCGGAGGCTGCATCTGTAAAATATAAATAAAAGCCGGGCGTGGTAGCACGTGCCAGTAGTTCCAGGTACTCGGAAGGCTGAGGCGGAAGGATCGCCGGAGCCCAGCAAGTCGAGGCTGCGGTGGCCGGGAAGGTGCCACTGCACTCCAGCCTGGGCGACAGAGTGAGACTCTGACTCAAAAACTAAACTAAACTAAAATAAATAAAAAATAAAATATAAATAAATACAATTATCCTCTGGTTGAAATGAGTCGGGGGCACTGGGGTCTGTGGTGTCCTCCCTTGACTCTCTCTCTCTCCCCCCCGACTCTTCCATCCAGGCTGAAGGAGCCCTGGCCCAACAGTGACCCTCCCTTCTCCTTCAAGAATGTCATCAGCCTCACAGATGATGTGAACGAGTTCCGCAACAAACTGCAGGGAGAGCGGATCTCAGGCAACCTGGATGCTCCTGAAGGCGGCTTTGATGCCATCCTGCAGACGGCTGTGTGTACGGTGAGCACCAGGAAGACACTGCCAGTCTGGGCCAGGGACTGGCACTTCTCAGCAAGCCCACCGGCCTGCCCTGGCCCCAGGCTCGCAGGCCCATGAAGGGATGCCCGGGACCCTGTGGCCGCCTTGCCCCAAGACAAACACAGACCCTCCAAGTAGTTCTTAAGTTACAATCTGGGTGTAAATGGGCCGGGAGCCAGGGTCCCTGGCCTGGTCTTGTATTGGCCAATGAGGTGACATGGGCCTTGGGGTTCTGATATCTTCACTGCCCTGAAGCCAACATCCCAAGACTCACAGGCTGCCCAGTCTCTAACTGTGCTGGACAGCCAAAGAAGCTACTTTTTATATGTATGTCCATTTTTTTTCATTTTTGAAAATAACATCCATATTATCGACAAGTTAGAAAACAAAGAACAGAAATTGCTTTCAATTTCACCACCATCAAACATCTTATTACTTTTTTCTTATTTTATATGGTTTAAATCAGTGTATTTATAATCTTGAAGTTCGCTTTTTTTCCACTTATCATGATCATAAGCATTTTTCTCTTCTAATACTTAGTTTCAAAAAATACAGATTTCTTTTAACAAATTGCCCTACACTGCTATACCTATTTTAACCACACTTTTTCTTTTCTTTTCTTTTCTTTTCTTTTTTTTTGAGTTGAAGTCTCACTCTGTCACCCAGGGTGGAATGCAGTGGCACACTTACAGCCACTGCAGCCTCAATCTGCTAGGCTCAGGTGATCCTCCTGCCCCAGTCTTCCTAGTAGCTGGAACTACGGGCACACGCCACCATACTCCACTAATTTTGGGATTTCCTGTACAGATGAGGTCTTGCCAAGTTGCCCAGGCTGGTGGTCTCAAACCCCTGAACTCAGACAATCCTCTCACCTCAGCCTCCCAAAGTGCTGGGATTACAGGTGTGAGCCACTGTGCCCGGCTCTTCTTTTCTTTTTTATTTTATTTTAGTTTTTTTGAACCAGAATCTCACTCTGTCGCCCAGGCTGGAGGGCAGAGGCATGATCATGGCTCACCCACTGCAGCCGTGACCTCG